CCTTGCGTTCTTTCTCGCTCGCACAGAGCATAGCGCTCTCTTTCGTCATGCTACGTGCGAGCGAGAGAGAACGCAAGGGGCACGAAACAGAGTATGTCCTTTTCTACGTAGACATCGGCCCCCACTCCTTAAATAAAGGCAAACGCTCGGTCTAGATATACTATGTCTATGGACTACACCATCTCGGGAGCTGAGGCAGCTCATGCTCATGCGCTCTCATGCGCTGCACAACATGGCGCGGCGTGTGGTGGGAGACCGTTCCCATGTGCGCATGAACTGCGCATGGATTGAAACGGAACGATCTCGTGCGCTCCTATGCGCATCATGCGAGAAACGGAACGCACCCTTTGTATCGCTGTACGCACGTTTGTCTGTTTACATACTTCAATAGATAGAAATACATACAGGTTATGTACATACGTGTGAGAGTTTATATATAGAGTTTCATATATTAAATCTTGCGTGTGCATTAATGTGCGCATAAACGACGTAAATAATGGAAGTAACTTGTTCCAGTAAGTACGCGACAATACTGATAAACTTTATCTCTTCATGAGTTATTTTCTCGTTCTTTTTCCTTAATCCAATGTAATTTCCGTAGACTTTCAGGACGTATTATCTGAATTAGATAGCATCCTACAGAATGCTACTTTTCTCAGTATCGATGGTGAATTCACCGGCCTTAATTCAGGTCCAGATGCTGGTCCCTTTGATACACCAGCTCAATATTATGCCAAACTCCGAGCAGGATCGATGGATTTTCTGCTTGTACAGTTTGGTTTGTCCATCTTCACATATGACTCACAAACTGATAAGTAGGATTTTATTTATTAATATTTTGATTATTATTAATTTAATTAAACTGCATTAATAATTTAATTAAAGAAATACATAGTCTAAAAAAACTTTATATATAAGAATGAATTAAATCAATTATGAAACATCTTTCATCTTTCAGATATTCTCAGCGTTCTTATAATTTTTATGTGTTTCCCAAACCGATGAATCGTCACGCACCGGATTGCAGGTTTATGTGTCAGACATCTTCGATAGCCTTTCTAGCAAATCAAGACTTCAACTTCAACAAACTTTTCAAGTATGGCATACCGTATCTCAGGGCAAATGAAGAAGAGAAACTTGCTAAACGCTTGGAAGAAAAACAAAAAATCAAAGAAGAGAACAATCAAGACTTGATTCCGATATCAGATAATGACAAACCTCAAATAGAGGAAATATGGTAACTATCTTTTTCAATATAACTTAAAGAATATATGATATTAAAATTGCGATATCAGTAAGTACTTAACTTGTAGAAATTTCAGTTCCAGAATAGAGGGTTTTCTGGCCTCGGATGCTGAAGAAATAATAATAGACAAATGTAATGCTTTTATAAGAAGACTTGTATACCAGGAGACTAGAATTAGGTGGCCCAACAAAGTGAGAGTTGAAAGTAAAGTTGAAAATACTTGGCACTGTCTTTCCATACAGAAAGCAGGTACTAAAGAGGAAGAGAAAAAAAAAGAGAATCAAAAACGCGAGAACGAGAAATTGGAAATGAAACAGGCTGTAGGATTTAGCAATCTTTTGAAGAAGATTGTAGAATCTGTAAGTGTATATACATATATACACAGTATGTCTGATTTAACTGGATATATGGAATTGATTTGTAAGCAATTGATAAAAAAATTGTTCATACAAAAGTTGTTTCATTTAGAAGGTAATATTATAAAATTAGTTTTGTACAAAACATTTTCTTTAATATCTCTTATTTGTACAATTTTTTCATATCTTTACTCGCTTACAAAATAATTCTATATATTCACTTAAATCAGACATATTGTATATCCATTCAAAAGTTATTACTGTTGTACCATGTTTTTTTGGAAGTTACAATTCTTCACATTATTTTATATGCAATATTTTTTTATATTTCTTAAATAAGTAGAGATACTTGGAAGAGATACAAACTATATATAATGTTTCCTTGTTATTGTAATTCTGTTTAAACATATTTCAATTTCTCTTTATTTCAGGGAAAGATAATAGTAGGTCATAACATGTTACTAGATCTGTGTCATATTGTGCATCAATTTTTTACACCTCTGCCAAATGATTATCTAGAATTCAAGACATTGATTCATGATTTATTTCCTAGGTAAGATACATGTATTTATATTTTTATTATTATTAAATCGGAAAGAGATGTTTTGAATATTATTTGCTAGTTTTTAATATCTAGAGATATTTATGTATGTGTGTGAAATTTATCAGAAAAACTTATCTTTTTCTCTTTTCTTTAAGCTTATTGGATACAAAAGTCATCTGTCAATCACAACAATTTAAAGAGCACGTAACATCGTCGAATTTAAATGTATTATTAGATATCGTCAGCAAGTCCCCATTCTCTATTCCTGATGTGGAACCTGTGGAAGGACATAGTTATTCAGTATCAACAGAAAAATCTCATGAAGCAGGATATGATGCGTACATTACTGGATTATGCTTTATTGCATTATCCAATTATCTTGGTCAGTAATTACATTAGGTATAAATATCACAATTACAATGATTAATATTTTTCTTGCCGATATTATTGTTCATTTGCAAAATATATATATTGTATATGTTTCTTATATCAATCAATTTTGTGTACATGAGTAGATAAATGTGTTCATTTATGAATAATTGCTTTGTGTTTCTTGACTTTCGTTAATAAATATATGTTGTACTATCTTTTTAGGCACATTGCAGAAGTCTGAAAATGCCATGGTACTAGCAAATTCTCCTTTGCTTAATCCTTTTCTCAATAAGTAAGTATTACATCAGTAGAGAAAGAATTCTGAATAATATTTTACTTTTTATTCTTAAAAATCTCATACAATTGTTTTTATTGTACAATTGTATTTACTTATAATTTAATTATTTTCTTGGCTTCTTCTCTTTTTGCAGACTTCCAATTGCAAGACTGAAAGACTTTCCATATGTGAATTTAGTAGGAAAAGATCGTAAGTATATCTTATTAAAAAAAATTATATTAGAATATAATTATATGTTATATGTATGCTCTCATATTATTTAAATCAATAAAATCAAGGAGAGAAGAGAGGGATATTATCTTTATTCCATTAGAGTGAATAGCGAGAAATCACTTACTGATAAGTAATATAAATCTTTTTTTTTCTCCTAGCAAATCCTAGCAGAGATCACGTGTTTCACATAACATTCCCTAAGGAATGGAAACATACGGATATAAGTCAACTTTTTAGTCCATTTGGTGAGTATTGTATCGATACAAGTAAAAACCAATTGACACAAAGTACGTGCGTCATAAACGACATGTGTACTTCTAGTGCTATTAATTTCTAGTGCTATAACAATTTTTGTTTGCAGGCGGTGGTTATGTTTCATGGTTATCGGATACGTCCGCATACATAGGTTTATACCGTCGCGATCAGGCCGGCATTGTGATGCAGGCTTTAGCCAGACAGACTACCTGCAAAGTACAAAAATATTCAAACCATCAAGTCTCCTTACAGACCGACGTTTCTCTCGAGAACCGTAAACGCAAATTGTCATCGCCTGAGTGAGTTATAACGATATATTATATCATAGATTTTAATACAAAACGTTTGGCACACAATGAATTCAAATTATCGGTTGCTTCCATGAATATATCGGGGCAGTTTTATTGAACAAATTAACATTGTCAAATGTGACTCTCTTCCTGCTTTTAAACTCTCTATTACTCGGTTGCAAATCGCGGTTAATTATCTAATTTTTAGAAATACTAATTTATACGTATGAATAGTATAAAATCTCTGCAGTGAATAAATGTGTACGTTTGTAAAATGTGCAATCTCGAAAATCGCACGCATTGGAACAAAAATGGATAGTCCGTCGTAATTTATTTTCTGCCGCGAGCTATCACGCTCAGTGCGAGATATATTAAACGCACGGATGAATAACGCCTTATAGCTCCGGTATGATCTTCTCAAGACGAAAAGAGAGAAAGGGATAAGACCCTAGGCAGCCTCTCCTAGGATTTCCTGTACACGAGAAATTTGCATAGGGCTGTAGACCTTGTTCTGAATTAATGCACGCGACGCTTGCTACAGGCCTATCTCGTCTTCTTGCTCTTCTCCTTTTCCCTTTCCTCTTCTGCTTCCCTTCATCCTGCTCCGTACCTCCTTCGCCTCTTCCTCCTCTTTCCCCCTGATCCGGTTTGTGCGATGTGCTCGCCGTCCTGCAAGTAACTGATATCTTTTATGGAAATTGCATTAAACGATGTGCAAAGTCTGAGTTGTTTAAAACTGTATCATTTACACTTTTTTGTTTCATTTAATTTATTTATTCAAATTCATTTATTTTATATATTAAAGGATAAACATATATAATTATTATTAATATAAAGAATTTTAATTGGGCATGAATTGCAATTATTTTTATTCTCTCTAAAATTTCTAAATACAAAATTGGAAATTAATTTAAAATTTTGAAAAGATATTAGTTATACTAAAATCGTATTATCCGTAGGATCTTTCTGAAAAAAAAAAACACTCTTATGTGATGACGCTAAGCGTGCATAAGTCTCAAACGGTAGTAAGTAGTTAATCGTGCCGTTTAAAGCGGCGTTTTGAGAGAAAATCTTTAACGAGGTAACTATGGCTGCAATAATCAATATACCCAGACTCCAATCAGCTGTCGTTAGTCGCGGTCTTTGTCTAGTGAACACGGCGCGTATATTTTTTGTAACCGACTGCAATCTTCTATCGCATTGTAGTTACAACGTTGCTCGGATAACATGATATTAATGAATCACCCGTGTGCTCGTAATTACCGCGCTCGTAAATTCTCCCTGCTGTGTCGCATGTGTTTTCATGTGATACGAACATTGGATGATAAGAAACTGAGTATGATCACCTGAGACAAATGATATTTCTAGGAACAGCGGAATATATAGTCATTTTAAAGACGCAAAATTTATATTACACTGACTTAAATCGACGCGTAAAAATTCACCCGATATAAACCTAAAATTTATAATCTTAATAAAATTAAATAACAATAAAATCATATCCGAAAAATAATTATGATAAAATTAAAATAATAAAATTAAAAATGATTTTTAACTATAATTTTATCAATTTTAATATTAAAATTATTAAAAAAGAATTTGTTAAAGAATTAATAAAAATACAAAACTTTTTTAAACCTAGTATTTTCCAGAAAAAAAGACCGTTTGAAGTATATATTATTCATTAGTTACGCAGTTGAGAAATAAAATACATTTCAACTCGAGATTTCAACTCGATCATTCTCTCGAGCGAAATAAATTTCCATTTAACGAAGAACGGATATCTTTGATATCGAGAGCACGTAATTAGGAAAGAGAGAAGCTCCGATCGGTTGTATATTATTAACATTATCGTATCTACATTATTCTCAAGAGAAATTTATTCGGTGCACGCGTGTTTGAATTCGCGGAACTATCGCTGCGAATCCCGCAATTTTTGAATATACAGCATCTCGTCTACATATGCGTATACACGTGTGTACTCTTTAAATATAGAATCAATCGGAATAAAAAAACTATGGATAATCCCGTGAATGAAATTCAAGTTTGTCGCGCATGCGATTGTGATATCTACAAATTGATTCATTGTGTGTGAAATGCGTTATTACACATTGTATTTACATTTACTATGAGCGCGCTAAAATGAAATTCACATTCCCACGATATTCAAAAATGTATCATTTTGTAGGAACGCCGCCATGAAAGATAATGGAAAATCGACTACTAACGGAGCGAATACACACGAAGACGAGTGGAAAGTTGCTACTGGTAGGTATTACACACTTTTTATTTTTTTTTATTTTTACATGAATTAATATTCCGATTCATTTTATGTATAAAAGGTAAAAGGCGCAAGAAACGCAAAGATCAAGCGACAACAGGTGATGCAGTCGACAAAAAGACTTTCGCGGAAGATAATTCTTGGAATTAGCTGCAGAAGAATTTCGACTATACGATTAAGAAAATGACATCAAACATATACGCAGACATTCAAAAGAAT